CGTGAGGAATTGATGATGGATGTTACTAGGGAAATTATAGAAGGCAAGCACGCTTTTACTAGAGTTGTGGGGATTGGATCTAGATGACATGTGGAGTTATTCGACTTGGTAATAGTTTCAGAAATGTGACTTTCAGTTTGAAGGCTGAAGTCACAGAAGACAGTGGATGTAGGCAGTGCTAATGAACTTGCCGATTGTGGGTTGGTCTGCACGTGTTACAGAGTCAAGATGGTCATGTATTGCAGTGATTTTTGAGTTGAAGGATGTCAAAAAAGCAGAGCACTGTTCATCCCATCCATCCATCCATCATCAACCACTTATCCTGCGTACAGTGGGCTGGAGCCAATCCCAGCTGACAGAACTGTTAATTTGAAAGGTTATTGTTCATATTAGTTTCCGGTGGTTTGAGTAGTTTTTTTACTGTGGAGAAGAGGGTTTTGGCATTCCCTTCACCTGCGGTGAAAATGTTTGCGTAGTATGAGTTTTGGATGTTGAGAGAGCATTTTGTATAGCAGTATATGATTGTACATCTGTTTATGTACAGCAAGTCCAGTCTTTTTGTATAGCCTCTCCTTGCGGCGTCCTACGGCCTTAAGCTGACGCAGTTCGGATGTGTACCAGGGAGAAATATAGGTAAATGAGATAGTCTGTGTTTTTAGAGGGGCTAAAGTGTCCAGAGTAGAAGATAAGGTGTCATTGTAGTAGTCCATTAGATCCAGAGTTGAGGTGGTCTGCGGTGGAGCTGGGTTAGATGTAATTAAGCTGATAAGGCTTTCTGGGTGCACATGTCTGATGTTTCGATTTGATATGACACGATGGGCCTTTGCCTTACTGAGCAGTAGGTTGGTGTTGAACAGTACAGCTTTATGGTCAGAGATAGGTAGCTCGGCAGATGTGATGTTATAGGGTAAGATGCAAGAACAGACTAGGTCCAGGATGTGGCCCTTGGGTGTGTTATGAAGTTTACATATTGTGTTAGCTCAAAGAACTCTAACATTGTTTTAAAATCTTGTGTAGACATGTTATCAGGTTTATCAAAATGGACATTAAAATCTCCAATTAAAATTATGTTGGGAGACATAGTGCTTAAGACTATTTAGAGCTCAGTGATGAACATATTGGATGGTTTTGGTGGTCTGTATATGACAGCAATAATAGTAGGGAAGACCGTGGGCAAATGTAACAGGGGGCAATTGTAACACACCTAATTTCTCCAGTCAGAAACAAGCTAGAGTGATGACAGTTAATCTGCACATGCTCAATAGGATTTTCTCTCCGCCTGTGGAAAAGGAGCAGAATCATTTCACCTTAGCCAAAGTTTTAAAAAAACACTGATTTAGAGGTATGAAAGTAACTTTTTGGATGTGCAGTATTTTTCTACTGGAGTCTAAAGTTCAGATGACTGCAAATTTAAACTTGCATCCATTTTATCTCTAGGTTGTTGATTAACAATTAACACTAACAAACTATGCTTATATAATTGTGGCTAGCGGGCAAACAAGATTTTATCATGACTGCAACATGGCCAAATGTAAGCAGCTTGTCTGTCTGTTTTCAAACTAAACATATTTCACTAAATATAAATGTAAAACCATATTAAAAGAAATGGATTTGTTCTAGTATAAACAAATGACCAAATAACATAGGCCAGCATTCTTTGTATAAAATAGTGTGTTTTATATGTGTTTAACAGAAAGTGTGAATATTATATAGGCCTAAGTCTGCAAAAGTAAAGTTCCTTTCATTGTCAGTTTGTCTGTATAGTGGACTTAAAGTAGTTGATGGTATAAGACCCAGCAAAACCAAAGAGAATGACTAGTTCACTTGTAATAAGCAGTTTTATGAAGTTAGAACAGAGAGAGCCTGACATCTACAATAATTTGAACCATTTAAAAACTCTTATGTAACATTATTAGCTGTAAAGTAATTACTTTGAGGTAGCCTAGGCTTTTACTTGAGATGCAGTGGGTTAATATGACTTTTTTCAGTGTTACAATTGCCCCCACAGACTCTGACTTCTTGCATTTAATTAAATATTGTAGTCGTTTTATAAGTGAAAATATATCAATTGTTATTATTTAGTGCACATATATTTCTTCTCATATGTTTCTTGTATCAAAAGATGACTAGTGTATCTCAAGTAGTTTATGAGTTATTAAGGAAAATGTAATGTAAAATATGTTACAATTGCCCCGGTCTCCCCTAGGTGGGGGTCCACGAAGCTTAAGCCAGCAGTTCAAAGGAACACTGATCAGGTAAACAAGAGTTGTGCTAGTTTTATTTTATACACTCATGATAGATCAGAGGAAGGCCGCCTCCCTTACCCCAGAGCGTGGATGGATATGTAGGTGAAGCCAGGTGGAGCTGCTGAGTTTAGATGAAGAAAAGCATTTTGTGTCTGCCATGTTCTGTGAGACATAAAAAAATCCAGTTTGTGATCTGTGATGAAGTCATTCACTAGCAGGGCTTTATTGGCAATAGAGCCGGTGTTGAAGAGAGCAAACTTATGGCAGGTCCTGTGTGTATGTGTGTGTGTAAATGATTTGGCTAGAACGCTTAAAACACACCGTGTACTGTGTGGGCGGGATGCCCTGTGCTTAACAACAGTCTGTATGGGTAAACTGTGTAATGACAGGTGAGGCCAGGAGGGGGCTGTAGCCAGAGTAAGTGTACTCTCAGCTGGCAGTGTGAGACACGAAGAAGATACCGGAGAAGGGGTCCATCCATCCATCCATAATCAACCGCTTATCCTGCGTACAGGATGTATAATATAATGGAAATCATTCACGGGGAGCGGCCTGTACAGCGTGCTGCCAGTTAGCCACTAGCATTTGGCTACCCAGCTTGTTTGGGTGGACAAGTTACTGATACTTCAAACTTCACATGCAAAACAAAATTTACTCAATTGTCTTTCTCTTCAGTCACACCAGCTGTAGTGGTGATTGCTTTTCTTGCCTCAGGAAAATATGATTACCTGGTCATAAATACCAGTGATGGAAACTCAGCAAAAATGTAAGCGACTCTTACTGACTGCATGTCTCACATTTCTTTATCACATAAAGAGGTTCATGTTACAAAGTGGATGATTGTTTTATTTATGATTTTCAGGTGCTGGATCTCTGATGCTGTTGTCCATCAGGTGGTGAATATCGGTTATTATGCTATAGTGTTCATCTTCACCTTTTGCATATTCATCATAACTGTGCGGCAGATTGTTCTTTTCAAACCCACAACAGGGAAAGGCCAGGACATCAGCTCCATCAAGAGAAACTCTTACTCCATTATAGGCCTGTTCTTCCTGCTTGGCATCACCTGGGCCTTTGCTTTCTTCAGCTACGGGCCTTTGCGTGTAGCATCCTACTATATCTTCACCATCCTCAACTCCTTTCAAGGTAGACTCCAGACTCACACACAGCAATATGAACTACACTCAAATGGTACATGTGATGGTAATACAATGTAACCCAACTACACATGTTCTTGCAGGTTTCTTCCTGTTCATCTACTATTACCATTCCAGCAAGACTGTTGGAGAGGACAGACTCCGCACAGTCAGTGGTAGCAGTACAGCCACATCAAAGACAGTTGTCCCAAATCTCTATCAATAAGTATTTGTGCTCCACATGTTTCACATGGAGACAGAAAGTGATTTTGCCTGAAATTATTTTGACACAAGAGGGCAGCATTTAATTTCATTTAGTCAAGCAGATCCTCTGTTGAATGAGGTGCTAGTAAATTGGTATATATTAAAAAAACGTTCCTCATTCACCCCCAAAATGCCTTGTGTTCCTGATTGAATGGCTACTCTCCTAAAATGGCTAATCTGGATTACCTTCATTGAGAAAATTACTCATGAGTAGAGCACTGACAGAGGAGATGGAGAAATATCCTGGAAGTTAATTGTGCCGCTGACTGTTTCAACAGGAGCCCTGTCTCACCTAGAGTAAAACTTTCAGAGAAGGTTGTGATTCACACAGAATATATCACAGA